AAAAAGTGGGTCTGGAAGGAGAGTGGATGGCTTGGAGAGGTAAACAAGACGTCATGGAGAAGGATACGAAACGATAAATGAGGATAAGAAAAAGTTCAAAAGAAGTAATGGATTATCATTCTTTTGGCTTATAAAGAATTAAGATAAAACAAAAGATAGAAAATAATATTTGATACGATCCGTGGTAATTACTTTTATCGATCAATTTTCACTCGATAGACGACGGTTTAAGATATTGATGCTTGACGAAGAAAATAACAGTCCTTTTTCTTAGACTTGACTTTAAAAAAAAATTTATAATCTTGAAGATTTAATTAGATAATATAGGATTCTAAGTATGCAATTACAAAAAGAATATAATTTGAACGATCTAAAAAAGAATCATATTTTAATCCAAAATAGCTAATCTAACCTATAATTGAATTAATTCTCAATTTTGAAAATCTTTATAGAAGAACAAACGAAAAGAATATTGAAATGATGATCTTACGCTTGCATCTATAATAAAATACGAAGAAAATAAACAAAATATTGAGGAAGCTTTTTAAAAAGGGCGCGAAAATTTGAACTTCTCAAAGCTCCATTGTGGAAAAGTGAGTCCAGAGACGGTCCAGGTGATAATTTAATTTATCGCGGATGTGGTTTTTGCTCGGCGGCCCTCGGTGAAATATTTTGCACCTGCCCGTGTAATAACGCCCCTGCTAAATTATCGCATTATACGAAGGCCTGCGACCCCGTGGCCAGTAGCAACGCGCTCTGATTTACGCGGAAGTGACCCTACGTCATTGTCACGACCCGTTTAACCGTTCCGAGTCGAATCTATCGGCGATTTCCATTCGATCCTTCGTTGCGTCACGCTCGATTCCGCTAGATGTCACCAGCCATCCGTCTTCAATCGCGTGGATCGAAGTGGTGGGATCGAACCTCAATGGCGCGAAATGAAATTACGCGGTCAACTTTCGGCCAAGGAATTCCCCGTGAACAGAGAGATATCGGATAGATGGAGAAATCGAGGCGCGGACGAAATGTTTTGAAACGTTTCCGAAAATTTATTTTTTAGGGAAATGAAATGGCAAAATAGGAACGGAAAATTAAAATTACGCGGATTTTTCTTTTTACGGTCAATAAAAATTTTCGGTGAACAGGGAGAGATGTCGTAAAAAATACAGAAATCGAAACGCAGGAAATATTCTTCGAAATGTTTCGAATTGTTCTCTTCTTTTGAAAATTTATTTTTTGAAACGAAGTATTATATGTATAGAGATTGGAATGAAATAGGGATTGTGAAATTAAATTATATGGTTTTTTCGGCCAATAGGAATTTTCTTTTCTTTTTTTTTTTTTTTGTGAATACAGATATATATCATAGATGAAGAAATTGAAATATAGAGAATATTTCGAAACGTTTCAAATATTTTTTTGAAAACTTTAAAAATTATTTTTTAGGGAAATAGTCTAGTATTATACTAGAAAGAAGTGAAATTACACGATCAAAAAGAATTCTTGATTGAATTGAAAGATATCAACGATACGGAGAAATTGAAATTTAGAAAATATAAAACGTATCGAAACGAACAATTCGAATTATCTTCTTTTTTCGAAAAGTTTGAAAATTATTTTTTAATGGAATAAAGTATTACATGTATATTGAAATATAGAATGCGAAATTAAATTACACCATTTTCTTTGAATTAAAAATAATTTTCGATGAACAAAGTGGTATCGGAAATGGAGAAATTGTAATGTAAAAAATATATCGAAAAGTTTTCAATTATTTTCTTTGTTTTTTTTTTTAAATTTAAAAATGATTCCTTTTTAAGAAAATAGAATATAATAAATATATAGAAACAGGAGAGTATGAAACGTGCAAAGCGAAAAAGCGATATTACTATTTTTTAGCAGATGCATCTTTTTTTATTTGCTTTTCATGGATATCGATGTTTTGTTTAGTTGATTGAAAGCCTGGACAAGGGTTTGGCTCACAAAAGAGCGTAGGTATGTAATTCAAAAAAATTTTTCAGCACAAGGGGTTCATTGTTATTCGAATTTTATCGCCCTCTATTGGATCGATTCTCGAGAAAGAACAATAGGATGAGAGAAATAGGATGTAAAATTAAAAGGTTCTCTTTACGGTTATATGTATAAGTTGTTCCAGATACCAAATATATTTTACTCCTACAAATACGAAAAAGAAAATGGTGTGCATCCTTCAATTTAATTGATACGAGTTAACCCGAAAAAAATATTACGAATAATAAAAACAACGTAAAAAAGAAATCTAATAAAAGAGAATCGAATCGAGAAACGAATGGAAACCTAATTTTTTTCCCCACAGATTTAATTTTATTTACCTCTTCTCTGCCGTAAACCATTTCAATAGAATGATAAAGTTAAACCAAAGTTATAATGTATTTAAAATCTAAACGCAAATCGTATCAAAATCCCACGAACAATGTACAAAAAATTTCAAGAATTTTTTTCAAACTTTATCATCTTTCCCTCCCTTCCCATTTTTGAACGAAATCAACCGAGCAGAATCAAACTCGTCCATGCTTCGTCACGGAGGAACTGGTCGCCGTCACGCGGGATAGACGGGTCAGTAACCGAGGTCACCCCTTTCGCGCCACCCTTCACTCTCCGACGAATGAAAAAGAGGGATACGAATAAAGAAGGGAAGAAAAAAAAGAGAGGGGGAAAAAATATCAAACCCGCGCGGCAAAACCGATTAACACGCGCGGTTGTACGTCATAGAATAGGTGGACGTGAATTGGACAGATCGATCGGCGGTATATCCGGCGTTTATACAAGCGCATTTGGCGAGTTGGTTGCATGGGCCCGGTGACTGATGCAAAAATGATTGTCCTGCGAACGATCTGGCAATCAAAGTGTTAAATTTGCAACGATGGGGCGAGGTGAAGACAGATCTGCATAGGAGCGAAGCAATGAACGGAGAGAAAAATAGGGAAAGGGTGGAGGAGGGAGGGAACGGATAAAGCGCGAGGGATTCGAAATTTTATGAGCGGTCATTGTCTGGCTGGTTGCGCGTTCCAGGCGCCACGTAGGAACGGGAACTTTATATCGTGTAATAATTTCGAACGCTCGTCATCGCGAGAGCCCCCATTATTCGACGCTTCAACTTTCGCGACGTATCGTCATGTTTGCGCTCTCACCTCTCGCGTCGATGTTTCTTTCTCTGCTAACGTTATACCAGGGGTTGTTGCGCTTTTCGCACGGTTGAAGAGATCGGTGAGAGGTGATTGCGCGCGCGTGGCGGGTTGAATCGTCGAGTTGAATCACTTTGTTTGGCTGTAATTTTAGGGGTAGGCGGAATACATCGGGGCCAAAACTCGTTTGGATTTGAATTACAGGATAAAATGTAAAATTGTGCGGTATCGAGATTCGACTTTTGATTTTTTCGAAAGAGAGAGAGAGAGAGAGAGTTTGATTCAGCCATCGAACGGAGAAGTGAAATTTTTTTCCTAGTTTAAGAGGGTTGGAAATCATTGGTGGTAAGAGGAATTCATATTTAATAAATTTTTGATGATTTCTAAATATCCAATGATAATCAATATTGGATAATTTAAAATAATTGAATTTATATCATTTATAAAAAATTACTTCTTGTAATTAATCAAGAATGAAATTTAAAATTGAAATTGAAAATTTTCATAATTTCACTTCGTTCACTCGAGCGTTTCCAATATTTATTTTACACAACGTCAAAAATAAAATAGATAAATGCGATTCCAAATTGTCGATCCTACGTTGAAACTGAATCAAATTTTCATAGAAATCTATGGTCTAAAAGATTCCAACAAAGATCGCGACAAGATACATTCAAGCAACTTATTCCCTCGAATATATTTTCAAACAGCTTTTCTTAATGTAAGTTCACGAAAATTTTCCTCGACATACGAATCTTATCAAGCTGAAAGAAAATACGACAAAGTTTCAAACTCGATTCAAGAAAATATCTTTTTGTTTCTCCCCCGTGAAACTTGCGCACGATAACCACAAAGGCCTCCCATGTATATTCATCAAAACTTTTCGGATCACGCGCAAATTAATCGAGTGAAATCTAGCAAGTCTATATTCAAATGTAAAAAGATAAAATACGGGAAAATACATTTTTCATCCCTCTCTTCGCTAAAATCGCTTTGAAATATTTTTGCTACCTACACGCGTATTCAACATGCCTCGCTTGTTATTCAAATTCTGTAAATAAATTTCCTTTGATTCCCTCGTTAAAAAAGACGAGAGAGCAAAACTACATCGAACGAAACCGGAATAAAGGCAATAAAAAGTATCTCGACAACTCTCGGTGACTTTCGCAGCTTCCACTTTTTTGGCACAGTTTTTGTTCCAAGCGTGCTCGATTCGGGTAAACAATGGTCGGTATTTATTCTCAAAACTCTCTTCTAGTTTCAAAGGAACAGACTCTGTTCAATTCCACGCGTTTCCAGCTGCAACAAATGCGACGAAAATATTCTTTTTTTTTTTTCCATCCCTTCTCGAATGACATATAGATATATATATATATTATACTCGTAACGATCGGATTGGTTTCCACTAATTGTAAGGTATTCTCGTTCTTGGAAAATAATTGATATGTCAATCCGTTCGAACGAAATCCTTATCACGGTAATTCGTATACAATATTTTTTTGTCCTTTTTTTTCTTTTTCTTTTTTTTTTTTTTTTTTTGCAATATTCGTTCGAAATTTTATCGAACAATAATAGGGATCAGACTTTTACGAATCGACCGAAAAAAAATCGGTTTTCTCTCTTGATATCGGTCAAAGTGGATCGCTCGAAAATATTCGCGTGGAATGTTGCGCACGAAATTGGCAAACCTTGAGCGTTAGTAAACAGGAATATTCTCGACAAAGGGGCGAAACTTCGTTGTCTTTGGGGGAAATTTCACGTTTTACGTAGTTTAAAAAAAAAAAGAGGGGGTGGAACGAAACAAGTGGAGTAGATCTTTCGTAAAAAAAACAGTGATTCCAGTCTCACAAAAGTCTCTCTTTGCTTCGTGGTTTATTTTATATACGTATACGATCGAGAAATTTTTGTTGCTGATTCGTTACTGCCTTCTTCTCCCGTAACGCTGTAAAAATTGTCCTCGTCTCTTGATATAATTCGTCTCGCGCGATGTACAATTGCGTGAACATGCACACACGTCCCTTTGGGAAGCTCGCCACGCGAGAAATTCGAAGAGACGTCCCGAGGAGAGAGGATCGTTTCGATTCCCTCGACATCCCCTCGCGTTTAATTCGCCACGAGGAAGAAAGGAGTTAGCACCATTCGAATTGCAGGCCCACAGAATGATCGAGACATCACGGTCACCTCAAGAGTGACGAGAACAGCATCGAAATGACGACGAGGACGAGGGATGTCGCTCTCACTTCTGTTGAACCACCGTGTTGCATGGCTGCTGGATTCTCGCCTGAAACAGATTATAAAAACGTGAAATTAAGTGAAAATTCGTAGAGAATTATGATTACAACGATTGTTAAGACCTTATAAGATTAAATTCAAGAGAAACAATTATTCGAAGTTGGACAGATTACAAAATGTATAATTAGAAAAAGTGGAAGATTGTAAGGAATTGGGTTCAAGGATGCTTAAATTTTTAAGTGAAATAGCTCACATCATGAGTATTAATAGGAAATGTATTGTAATAAATTGAAAAATTGAATTAAGATAATAGTTGAACGTTTATATATATTGTTCTTAATATAATCTTCTTAATTGTTCTTTTCTTTTCATGTTTGGAAAGGTAAATCTTTTGCATTTGTATAATTGTCATATGGACTATAAAACGTGAATCTTCGAGATAGAGTACACGCCTTGGATAACCACGACATCGAAACGTTTCGGTAGTTTGTACCCCTGAGTGAAGAGCATCCAGCTGATATATATTCTCGGAATCTAGCTAACATATTCACGGAATCTATCTGGCATGTTCATGGAATTCACGAATCCAAACCGAATCTGCAGTTTCGGAACCTTGATCGAGAGGATCAGTCAGAATACATCAACGGAAACAACGTGTTATTACATTCGTGAAACACTTTTGGAAGATTTTAAAGATTATAACAAACACAAAGGTGGATACAATTTCAAGTTATAATACAAGATTTTGATTTGCAAGATCTCAATCATCCTCGATTATTCGATCTTCTAACATTTATTGTCATCAATTTTGTATTTTTATATTTTATTTTTTTTTTATATTTTATTTCTATCTTTAATTTCTTTCCATTATATCTCTCTCAGTTAGTTTTAAGGTTAGTAATTATTATATAGTCATTATTATAAATAATTACATATGAATATTTTTGTTCTTCATTTAAATTGGTTAATCGAAATCTTATTGTATATAAATCAGTTATCAGTTTTTGAGGTTTTATTAAGTTATAAACAATTCAAAGTGCGACGAATATAGAAACCTCTTATTTTTTTTGCTTCTAGAATCGGTTTTTCAAAAATGTTTCTCGAATATATTAACACCCTGTGTATTCTACACTCTGACATCTAGAATCAGGATATGTCGATTCAATAAGGCATTTAAAAATCTCTAGAGATATGATTCTGAATTTTCGAATCACAATACAAATCATTAGATATAAAATTGATTTTATTAAAACATTACATAAAAATCTGAGATTATCCTGATCCTGATTCTTGAACTTTAAATTGTTTCCGTTTGGTTTTACGATTCTAGTATTATCAAGGTTGTGAAAGATATGGTGATTTGACTTTAGTTTCAGTACTGTGTTAGTAGTTTTCCTTGAACCTCAGAGTGACCTGGTTTGTGTGCTTTAATCCTGGATCGTGTTTACCATAGTCCTAGAGCACCAAGTGATTTTATTTGGATTCAATGGTCTTGATGTTATGCCAATCGTGGTCATTGGATTCTGGTATTATTCATAATCTCTTAATTTAAGATTGTATCTATTTTTCAGATTAGCTTATATTTTTGTATCTTTCAGATACGATTTTTATCTGATAGACTGTTACTATGTCTTTAATTTTTATCTTCCAAAAATATATATAATAGATAATAAAAGATATAAGGAACAAGAAAAAAAGAACTAACTTTTTCTTATATATAATATTTCAAATTCGTACGTTATAATTTGAAATTAAATTACATTAATTTCTCGACTTTCCTGTTAATCTTCTTAATCTTCTTCGTGTCACGAAATCTCCATCAAAACCGCACGAAATCACGAACTTTCCCTCCGAACCTGGCTTTTTAATTATTTCACCGCGGCGAAAGGCGTGAAATCGAAATTATAAAGTCTCAAGAGAATCCAATATCTGGGTTGGTAGCATTGGTCCAAAAGAAAAAACGCGGGATTCCGGTCGAGGAAAATCGTGCATGGATCAGCAATTAAGGAAATGACAGGAGAAATGGAACGGGGGAATGTAGCACGGGTAGAAAGAGAAGAGAAAGAAAAAAAAATGAGGCGAGAATGATGGACTGTGATAAAAAAGGATGGAAAAATATCGTGAGACCGAGACTTAGATCGAGGATTAATGTACGGTTCTTGATTTCTCGCTAATTCGTAATCTTCTCTTAAGTACTCTTTAATTCGATTTCCACGTTTAATTATATGTAAGGAGACGCGATTGAAATTAACGTGGAACACCAGAGCCAAATTCGCGAGAAATCTCATTTGAAAGCGGGGAATCGGTTGGTAAAAGTGTCATCGTTGAATTTCAAGATCGGAAATCAGAACATCAGGAATTAGTATGGGTTAGATTTTCGCGAGGGAATGAGGACTATAAAACGGATCTTATGCAAATGGAAGAATTTCACCTATTCTTGGAATTCAATGGAGAAAAATATTACCCTTTCAATGGATGGATATTGAAATAATTAATTTCATCGATTCTCTTATCTTCGAGAAGAAAATTATATTAGACAGGTTGAGATTAATTTTTATTTAAAAGTGTTTGTGGAAATGTTATGCAGTATGAAGTATATTTATTACGAATATAAGAGATTTGAATGAGAGTGAATTTTATCTCTTTTTTTTTTTTTAGATCACAATGAGGTGTAAATAAAAATATACATTATGCATTACACATATCAAAGTTATTTTCTATTGATCATATTAATATATTATTATTATTTTTTATGTAAAATGGCTTTTAATTTTTAAAATACGTTTACATAGTTATAAATCTAAAATATCATAAATTTAATTTTAATTTGCAAAAATATAATTTTTATATTTGTTATTGTAAAAAAATTATTAAATTCATAAATTAACAATAAAAATTTTTAAATTTTCATTGAAAATTCATAATTGTTTTATAATTATTTTTTTACATAGAATTCATAAATTAGTAATAAAAATTTCTAAATTATTATAATAATTTTTTTTATATAAAATGGTACTAAGAATATTTCAACACAATTATAAATCAAAAATTAATATCATAAAATAGTAAATTTAACATTTGTTCGTAAAAATATAAATTAATTATTACATTAATATATACATTTAGTTCGTAAAAATATAAATTAATTATTACATTAATATACATTTAATATTGTAATAAATTATTAAATATATAATTGTAATAATTAATTAAATGTATAAATTAACAATAAAAAATGTAAAAATTAACAATAAAAAATGTAAAAATTAACAATAAAAAATGTAAAAATTGACAAATTATTGATTATTATATTCGAAAAATAAATTTAGAACGATCGGCAAAAGACGTATATATTTCGTAAATCTTCGCGTCCTATAAATACGAGGCAAATCGCAACGGAATAATCATTTCCTATCGAACTTTGTCGACGAACAGATCGATTTTATAATTTTGTAATTTCAAATTTTTTTATATAATAAATAATTTTCAATCTAATAAAATTTATTCTATATTAATGTTTATAATATCGCTGTGAAAAGATACATTTTTTATTCATCTTTTCTTTTAATGTAAAAATTAATTTTTATTGCTTTCTTTATTTAATTACCTACATATTCTTTTATTTATCATTAAAATATTTATTTCTTGATTTATTTTTTAATTTATATTTTCATTTATTTCTTTATTTTTACATTTATTTTCTGATTTATTTTTTAAATTATGTTTTCATTTATTTATTTATTCATTTATTCTTTTATTTATTTCTATTTATTTCCATATTTAGTTTTTCATTTTTTAATTATATTTTCATTTATTTAATTTTTCAATTATCTTTTTATTTATTTCTACATTCATTTCTTCATTTATTTTATACTTTATATTATATATTATATATAAAGAAGTCATAAGAAACTTTACAAAAATTTATTAATAATAATAAAATAAAAGAATGAAAACATATTAAATAAATTAATAAATAAATGAATTATAGTAGAAAATAAATAAATTGATAAATTAATGTATATAAATGAATAAAGCAATTGAATTTATAAAAAAATCAAAAAATAAATCATTAAAATAATTGAAAGAAATATTATTCATATAAATAAATCTTAGAAATATAAATATATAAATAATTTTTTTTTTTTTTAGATTACAATGAGGTCTGAATCAAAAAATTCGTAATATTTCTTTTTTACGAAAATATGATCTTACAAGAAAATTTAAAGTAATGGTTTATTGTTGTACATAAAAATTCGCAATCTACCCATAATTTATTATATGTAAACGAAGAGGAACATTTTCGTAAGAAAAAAATATATTTATGGCAACGATCTTCCACTTCCAACACGCTAATTAAAAAATAAGTCAACTTATTATTCAATTTTCTCGTTTCAAATGCAGATAGATAATATAATTAAGAATAAATTGAAGATTTTGCATACTGTGCAATGTTCTTACATGTATAAATTTAATGAAATTCCACTAAACGTTGGAGAAACTGTTATATTATCGTATATAGTTATCGATAAGCATTGTTCAAAGCCACGAAATTGCAATCAGGAGGGCTATAAGGAGGGCTCTTCCACTATATTCCTTCATCATTTTCATTCGCCATATCAAACTTCAAACGATCGTCTCAATGAACCGATTACAGATCAGAATCAATTTCAATAAGCTAATTCATCCACCCAAGCAATTTGTTCTTTAATTGGGACTCAATCGAGAAAAAATTAAAATAAGCGACATTGATACTTTCTTCAAATTCAAATAATTAAGATTTAAAGCGTTTCCCTCTTCATATTTGAACCGATTTAAGAGCAAAACTTCGCAAGGGAAGCGACCATTTCCAAGATTCAATTAAGAGGTGGCGACAGTGGTGGAAAAATTTACAGCCCTGTTTACGCTTGATTCTGGTAAGTTGAGTCTTAGGATTAGCCCCGGATCCTCGCCTCGTTAATTGGATCTTTCTCGAGTTCCTATGGAAAAGACTCCTTCATCCACGATCCAAGAGAACGAACCTATTTCCTTAACTGCCAAACTGGAAGA